GATATGTGGTGATATGAGGGATATGATGATTCAAGGTTGTAAGGATATGTGGGGGTGGAAGGATAGGTGGAAGTGCAAGGATAGGTGGACGTTGGTTTTCAGAGATATAGGGATTTGGGGATGCAAGGATTTGAGAATATAAGAATTTGGGGATGTAAGTATTCGAATATGTAAGGATTTGGGGATGTAGGGATTTGGGGATGTAGGGATTTGGGGATGTAGGGATTTGGGGATGTAGGGATTTGGGGATGTAGGGATTTGGGGATGTAGGGATTTGGGGATGTAGGGATTTGGGGATGTAGGGATTTGGGGATGTAGGGATTTGGGGATGTAGGGATTTGGGGATGTAGGGATTTGGGGATGTAGGGATTTGGGGATGTAGGGATTTGGGGATGTAGGGATTTGGGGATGTAGGGATTTGGGGATGTAGGGATTTGGGGATGTAGGGATTTGGGGATGTAGGGATTTGGGGATGTAGGGATTTGGGGATGTAGGGATTTGGGGATGTAGGGATTTGGGGATGTAGGGATTTGGGGATGTAGGAATTTGGGGTTATATGGAATTGGAGATGCAAGTATTTGGCGATATAAGAATTTGGGGATGTAAGAATTTTGGAAAGGTAGGTATTTGAAGATGTAAGAATTTGGGGATGTAGGGATTTGGGGATATAGGGATTTGGGAATATAGGGATTTGGGGATGTAAGGATTTGGAGATGTAGGAATTTGGGGTTATATGGAATTGGGGATGCAAGTATTTGGCGATATAAGAATTTGGGAATGTAAAAATTTTGGAAAGGTAGGTATTTGAAGATGTAAGAATTTGGGGATGTAGGGATTTGGGGATATAGGGATTTGGGAATATAGGGATTTGGGGATGTAAGGATTTGGAGATGTAGGAATTTGGGGTTATATGGAATTGGGGATGCAAGTATTTGGCGATATAAGAATTTGCAAATGTAAAAATTTTGGGTAGGTAGATATTTGAAGATGTAAGAATTTGGGGATGTAGGGATTTGGGGATATAGATATTTGGTAACATAGGAATCCACAAATTCCAGAATATGCAAACAAAGAAACATAAAGTTATCGAAATTTGGGAACATTGGAATTTCAAGATGGTTGAGGTCGACAAATATAGGAATTGGCTACACATCTGCAGATATACGATCCAAACACGTAGGAGTCTAAATACAAGTTTGAACATACCCAGTATAGCAAACTCGTGATTTAGGAATCCAGAAATTTAGAACAATACATTTCAATACAACAATCATGTTGGTCTCCCACAACACACATAAATCATAACATGCAAAACTATCATCTATCTAGACCATAAACTCCAAAATATTTTACAGTATCAATTTGGCGTCCACACAAATTATTTGATCCTATCTATATTATTTTATTGAACATTCCAATCACGTAAATTCTTTCCACCCACTCCCGATTCATAAATGTAAATCGACAGATGATTTCATCTACCAATACTGTTACTAAAATTCAATTAAATTCATCGATTTCGTTACCATCATCATCGTGTTCAATAAAAAAGGAAAATTCATTTCGATAGTAATACACAGTCAGTTTAATCGTCTCGCAGCGATAAAAAGTTACTTTAGCAGACGTTTCGAGGTCGAGACGAAGATAGGGGTGGACTGGTTCGAACGATAGTATCTCGTTCGTCTAGTTAGTTCTCCCTCGCAGCCCTTCTTTTATATCGAGCCTAATGAACGCGATTACGAAGACCGTGATAACAGAGAAAACGTGGTGAAACAGGGCATCGGCTTGGTTAATTGAGAAATACTGTTTAAACGAATGAACCCACTGCCGGAACCACCGAATTCAAATGGATAGCTTCCGGTGCTGGGGTCGTTTAGCGATATCTCGTCGCGTTACCAACCTCGAGGGGCAATCTTATCGTTAATCGATGCTTCAAGAACTTTTTTTACTATTCTGAGGCAGTCTATAGTAAATAATCAGATGGTATATAGTTACATTCGTATCAGATTGCATGTCGGAAAGATGCAAATTTTCAAAAATAAATTTTCTCGAAATATAATGTATAATTATAGTATAATGTACAGTTTGACAATATGTACTGCAACTTAAGGTATGTTAATTTAAATTGTTTGTTCAAGGTATGTTAATATAAATTTATGTTTGATGAAAATGCAGAAAATGTTTACCAGTGCTTATATTAAATGATTGATTGTCAATGTCTGAGTTGAAGTACATGAGGTCTGTTAAAAGGCTGTTATAATTTGATGACATAAAAGCAGGACTAAATAACCTTCATAATATATCGATTTGACATATAAAATTTGATAAAAATAATTATGCAAGCATTTCAATATTCTTTATTAAAAAGCATTTTAATAAGCATTCAATATTATACGTTTCAGAAATTCATTATTCGATATGCACCAATCTCATATGCATACTTTTTGTTGTTCGACTAAATTTTAATATGTGTACTTTTAGTAACTGTTTGTCTATATATTATTGTATGTTAACATGTTACATTTTTCAGTATAAAGGTGTGTAAAATAGTTGTAACATATTCGAAGTTGAAATGTTGACTACGATTGCGTGAGCCACGACTAGATACACGCAGATAAACGAGCAGCACGTTTAGCAAGCAGAGGCAATCGCGATTCCCAAATATTTGCCAATTAGTAATTTACATTTCGTGATTAGTGTATTATTATCGTCCTAAATAGGCAAATAGTGTGACGTTTGCGTAACATCAATTCTGAATTCGGAGCATTAATAGTTGTATCAGCGACCTGTAAACAATTTTAAGTGGCGTATCATCCCTGATTTATGGATCAAATACGGTCATCAGACCACAGTTTCGATTCTATATGGCAAGTTTTTGTTTAGAATTGTAGAAATGTGGGAAAGAATTTTGAAATTTAGGAATTTGAACATTTGGGAATTTGATATTCTGGGAATTTGAGGGTTTGGGGTTGTGAGAATTAGGGGATTTTGGAAGTCGGAAAATTTCAGAATTTTCAGTCTTAAAAATTTAGATTTGATTATTAAGGTTTTAGAAATTTAAGGACTTAAAAATCTGGGGTTTGAAACTTTGGGGACATGAGAGTTCATTAGTTTCAGCACCTCATAATTTCTAAGTTTGACAATTTGTCGTTTTGATAATTTGACAATTTGACAATTTGACAATTTGACAATTTGACAATTTGACGATTTCACAATTTCACAATTTCACAATTTTCGAATTTGGAAATTAAAAAATTTTTAAATTCGAATTGAAGTGAGTGATAATTTAAGAATACAAGAATATGGAAATTCATAAATTTAGAAATTACATAATTCAGTCCCCAAAATTAAACGAAAACGCATTCATCGCTGCACTATCGCCACCCTCACACCATTCTCCAGCCAATATACCTAGACATTACACTGCACTGTCAGTGTATCTCACAAAGCAGAAATGTTTGTTCGATAATGTTGCACGAAGAATACTATCGATTCAGCAGCGTGCATCTCGAATTTATTATATTCATACGAGGTACGCTATTGTTACGATCTTCAACAACGAACATCAGTTTTCTAGTGGGTCCCATATTCAGAGGGTTCTCGTAACTGCGCCGTTTCCCGGCGAGATAAAGCGACGATCAGATTTTTGCATTCATTCATGAAATGGAGATGGAACCCGCATCGCACTATCGTTGCAAACGAAAGAAAGAAAGAAAGAGAAAAAAAGAAGGGAGGATTGTTCGTGTGAGTACAGCAAAAGAACCCTTTTCGTTCGACGATGACATTCTGATACCGCATAAAATATAGTAGTTCGCGGTGTGTTAGTTTACAATGGGTGAACGAGTATATTTAGGAAAGGGCTGCTTTCTTTCATATGTTAAGCAGATCAGTGTCGGACAGTGTGAAGAGAAGAAATAGGGGACGAAGGGTGAATCGAGAGGATCCCTTCGACTTTTACCCCGAAGTGTACGGCACACGCTTCTAAATGATCACCGGCTTGACTTGATGCCCTGAAAAATAGCCGTGGATATTTTTCTTTATAACGTCAGCGATAAAGCGTGATTTTTTAACGTCTAATTTGGTGCTTTTTTGTGGGAGAACTATGTAATATTTTTGATGATTCATTTGTTTAGGATTTACTAGTTCTTCAGATCCCTATATTCTTTAGATCTCTAGGTCCCTTAGATAGATTCTTAGAGGATAGATTCCTGGAAGGTTTCTAGGCTTCAGATTCCCAGGTCTTCCACTCTAGATTCTGAAATTTCTTTACCAATCCCTACATCTCCTAATTCTGGGTCCCCAAATCTCAAACTTACAAATTCCTAAATTTCCAAATTTACTGATCTTCGAATTACTATATCCCCAAACTCATAAACCTGTAATTACCTAGGTTACCAAATCCCTACATCCCCAGATCCCTCGCTCCTAGAATTGTTATATCGCCAAATTCCAAGTTTCCCAAATTTCTATCTCCCCAAATCCCAAATTACCAATTCCATATCTATGAATTGAGCCATCACGTCCACTACAAAAATCTTAAAAATTCCCTAACTTCCTATGCTTCACAACCTTCATATTCCCGTATTCGTAGATCCTTACGACCTCATATATGTCACATACTAATATACCCCAACAAAAACCGTCCCATGTAAACATATCTCATTTCATATCGTTTCAAATTAACGTCCGCTCGCCACTTCATAATTCACCACTGCATTTATCCCTCGACGAGAAACGACATTTATAACGTTACGTGCCATGTAATTCTAACGAGTTTTACGATCGCATAAGTCGGTTGACTTTGCTCGATGTGCGAAAGTAAACGAAACGAGAAGAAGAAAGCAAACGGAAGGCACACGGATGCGACCGAACGTTATTATCAGTCCTGACGAACATTAGATGTCCATCGGACACCGATCAACGATGATGATAGAAATAGCGTTTTCTCCACGTTCATCCCCGGCTACGTATTTAATCTCTTTGTTTGCGTTTGCTTTCAGACCACGTGAGGGAATTCAGCTGCGGAATGCTGTATTACAGAACGCTGTATCTGGACAGTAAGAGGGATGCTCTATACGTTGGCGCCATGTGAGTACCATTGCTTTTTATATTCACCGTGGGACAAAAGAATGCTACCTTTTGTGTTTCTCCGTATTTTGCAATATTCCTACCTAAGATGCTCTTTGTACGGGTTATGTATAATGTAGTCTTACTACCCCGGGAATTCTATGCACAAAAGTCGAAAATAGTCTACAAAATTTTATTAACCTCGTCCTCACAAAAAATTTAACCATTCTTTCACATTTTTGAGATATGTTATTAGACATGATTGTAATTATAATATAGTCTTACTACCCAGGGAGTTCTATGCACAAAAGTCGAAAATCTACAAAATTTTATTAACCTCGTTCTCACAAAAAATTTAACCATTCTTTCAAATTTTTGAGATATGTTATTAAATTGAGATATGTTATTAGACATGATTGTAACACTTTTGTGAAATTTTTGTCTACGATTAAAATTCTATTATGGAATGTAGCAATTGATTAAATTTCTTGGTGACATCGAACATCGGATAATCCCTGGTTCGAACTCTGTATCATCGGTGCCAATACAAGCCGGCTTTCACGATAATAATTGTCGCGCTGATTTCATCGAACCCCTACCCTCTGACCCGCAGCGCCCTATAGATAGCTTTTTATTCGAGACCTTATATTGATGCGTGTACCGAATCGACGAGCAATTTTGTCGTTATTTATCGCCGGGTTCCAGATCAAAATGAAAAGTAACGTTTCATTCGACAGCGTAACTGGGTCGCGCGTGAAACATTTCGTGCGTTCAACGTTGATTCGAGCTTTGCAGGTCGATAACGTTGATCGAGGGCGGGGGTACGATTTTAAATTGTTCCAGTTAACATTTATTAATCCATCGTTTCGAGATAGGATACCACAGCTTTTCGCGATATTTAAAGCACACGTGATCCGATCGTTACGAATCGCTTCCTGTCAAAATATTAAACAGATGTTCCTCTGGCGATGTAATCAATTCAAAATTCACCGGCTGTTGCCAATATCTTCATGAAAAATTATTTGACACTCGCAAAATTAATGTAGTTATATTTTAAAGTTACAAGTTAATTCTCCCTGGCGGACGCTTTAATTCTCCCTGTCAGTATTTTTATATTTGACTTTAATTTTGAATTGTGAGTTTTTATATTGGACATTTATTTCAGATATTTTATCGAGATATTGAACAGCATAGATTTTTAAATTGTAGTGATGTTTGAAGAGGAAAATTTAAATATTTAAACGATTTTGAAATTTGAAAATTGGAGAACTTATGAATTTATGAAAGTTTGAAAATTAAAAAACTTGTTTCATCTATTTACTTAATGTTCGCAATAACTTCGTCAATTTTCCTAGAAAATAGTATTCACAATTTACAAGAAATATAACTGCACCATCCTAAATGCTAATGTACCTCAATAGTCTTCTACGATAATTTATTTTTTTTGCAACGGATACGTGTTTGTGGAAACTCGCCATAACGATGCTCGAACGCGTCTGCACTTTTTGAAATCCGCTCCCTTCGCGATATTTGCACGCACTCTTAGCTCGAGCACTGGAATATACATATACGTGTATCGCGTTTATGTACCGGATCGTTCCTCTATACACGAGGGGATGACCAGCTTTCGTTTGCTAAACGTTTCAATTTGCAGAAAGGTAATTTACTGAAACCTTCGGGGCACGGGGGAAATGAGACGGGGCGGAGCGCCGCAAATTAAGCTGGTTGAACTTTTAAGAACGTTTCCGATTAATCTTGAAAATCGGCCGAATGGAAAAAACGTCGGTCGTGATTATGCGTAATCGAGTCGTGAAATTGTTTTCGCAGACAGTGCCGTTTAAATGGATGCGCTCTAATCGGCGAAATTGCATTTGCGACGTTATTATATTGCTCTTCTATGCTTTGTTTCAGATACAAACTCTCACAGAGAAATTAAGCTTTTTCTAAAGTTCAATGAAAATACTTCTTTCACCTATAACTTATTATATTTTAGTATTGATTTTCTATCTTCTTATTCTGCATGTAATAATTTTTCTCAAGTTTATGTTAATATTTAAATTTAAATTCTGAAAGCTTCTCTAAACTGTCTAAAATATTTATTTACTTAATGAAACTTCATGATAAAATAAACTATTATTTTTAATAATTTGTAAGAAGTTGTATGAAGATATAAACTATTTATTTACTTATTGAGACTTCATGGTAAAATAAACTATTATTTTTAATAATTTGTACGAAGTTGTACAAAGAAATAAAAGTATAGTGAGTATCCTCTAATCAGGCTATATTGATATTACGAAATAAAATTTAATTACCACTGTACCTTCAATCAAATTAAATTTCTACCGTTCCTACCCCAATTTCTGAAACACTTGTAGAGAGCGAAATACGAATCTCGTAGCACCGGTAATACAATATTCGAGGGGGCTATCCTTTAAAGCGTAGGGAGTAAAAAAAGGGGGTGGTTTCTTGAGGGGTGGATAGAGACTGTGACGAGGGTTGCATCATTACTACAGAAGTATTATTTCTTGATTCGGTTCCAACCTTTCGGCCCTTGTGTTACTATCCTGCTGGCCATTCACTAGCGTTTTCTTTTGTGAGCCTCCCTTCTTAATTTGGTAAATGCCAACGAAATGCTACACGGCCCCGGTAATGGAGAGCAACGGGGATATCGTCTGAAAGACGTTGGATACACAAACCAGAGAGCTCCTATAAAATAGGAACAAGAATCGCGTAATATATCTATTGTGACGGGCAAAATTATGTCGTGGATTATATCTCGTGAGCAATGGCGAGAGGAGAAGACATTATGGCGTCGTTGGTGAAAAAGCGAGTCGTGTAACGGCGTATACGCAGTGTTAAGACCTGTGATGTAAAAAGTTGAAGATTTGTAGGCTCTGTTATTTAACTTTAAGCTGATCTACAGCTTCAAATGGCCGTGTAAATAGCGAAGGGAGTTGCGTCTGGAAATTTTCGAAAACATTTTGTACACATCGATGTAACGGGAATCGGCTTCATCAGGATCGTTAGGATTACAAGGACCATCAAATCACACGGACGACTTGAATAAGAACGATTCATTCTAGCCATATTCATCGGATTGAACGATGCTTACGCGGTTCATTTGCCGAATAGTCGAGGTAATGAAGGTTTAATCCCGATTCTGATCAATAAAGTTGCATTATGCTAATCTAATAGATAATTTCCGGGCAACCGGTTGATATTGAATTTCAAAACGCGTCGATGAACAAACTGTTAAATTTAGTCTGCCGGTAAATTCATTTTCGCACGTGAACGATATCGAATTCACAACACGATCGTTAAAACTTTATGTATCGCTTCCATGCGTGTTTCCATAGAAATTAGTATCGGTTTAAATCCTAGTCGTTTAAACAAAATAATTGCACGAACAGTTTTAGAGAAGGAATCTTTATGGTATAACAAAATTATTTATACGGTTTGTGTTTAAATAAGCTTATCAGAAATATTCTAGTCACGTGAGAATTTTCTAATAAAAGGATTTCAATTGCACGTATACTTAATAAGAGATATTATTTTGAATAATAACGAGGATAACGTCGAATTAATTAAATTAAAAACTCATTTCAGTTCCGTCTGAAACGTAGAGTCGTTGAATCGGCTCTCATGGATCATAGAGCTTAATCGTTTCACATAATTGGAAAAGGAATGCCAGGATCGTTTTTCTTTTGCACGGGAATTCTTATCGGAATCCGATATTACGAGATGGGTTACGTACGTAACCTGTAAGGTAGATAGGTGAGCACCATGGGAAAAGAGAGGCATGGAACGAAGCCAGGAAACAGGAAACGTTAAAATCGAGCTACTCTCTTTTTCTCCATCTGTCTCGTCTGTGAATGCAATTTATCGTAAGTCGCGTTTCCATCCGGCCTCGTTCCATATGGTTCATCTCATTACCGAAACGAACGGAGTTACTTTAAAAGCGTAGGCGCATCTTACGCGCTCGTCATTTCTTTACCTCGCTGTCACCCTTATCCGATTTACTTCACCCCCTGGTAATCTCGTTTCGGATCTCCCTCGGTCACGACTTCAAATTATTCCGCCGCCATGTTCGTGTTTTCGACCTGTTTGCTGCCACGTGTAGCGCGCCATTTTGGATACCGAACGCAAAAGAATTGCATCGCTGCGGATCAAGTTAAAAAATTTAAAATTAAAGAAGAAATAATTAAGTTGTTTGCTGTAACGTTTATTTAAAGCTTACGTGAAGATATGTACTTGCAGAAATTTTTCATTTTTAGTTTTAAGTTAGAAGATTTTGAAATTGAGTTCAGAAGTGCCTTTCTATTTAAAGATTGTACTGTTTAGCTTCCAAATTAGCAATTGCAATCTTCATCTTTAAAATTCAAAATTGTAGCCTTTAAATTTAAAATAAAAAATAATAATTTGTAACCTAAAATGGAAGAATTTAAAAATTTCAAAAATCACAAACTTCTGAATCATAAAATTTGGAACTTTACAATTTTACAAGAAAGGGTTGCGTTCAATTATTTCGAACTGGCGACGAAGAAATAATTATTTATTTCGATCCAGCGAAATTGTAAACCTATTCTTTCGCGTATCAATTTTTCCCTTTAATTGGACAGTTTTTGCATTCGGAGAGCGAGATGTATAGGAATGAAAGCGTCGAAAACAATTCTCCGTCGTAGAAAAGCGTTGACGCGTTAATTAGCATCGTCGAATTACGAAATTCGATATTAATTCGATAACTGGCAGATCGCCAAGTGGTAACCGCTTTCCGGGTGTTGATTAACGATCGACGTACACAGATTTCGGTAACGGTGAACCGTTATTTCTATCAGCTTTGTCGATTCTCGCGGTTCGACGAGCAACGAATTTTCCGCGGTTCGACTTTTCTCGTGGACGCGTACCAAAAAAAAAAGAGGAGCGCACGGTTCGAACGACGGATTTATTCACTTTTGTGACGCGGCAATCTCGCCGGACCTTGTTAAAATTATCACGGGTTCCACCTTTCGCGCGGTGGA